CAGCTCGGATGCGCCGCCGCCACGTGTTCATGCCGATGATTGCGACGCCATTTTTTTTTCTTCATTAACGGCGTGAGTCACGAGGATTCCTTTTCACGCTTTAGCCGAGGGTCGCCATTGCACCCTCGGCGGCGGGGACTTTGGAAAGCCTTGGCGGACCAACGATCGGGACTCGGAAACGGACGACGCCCTTTTCATCCTTCCGAGGAGCCATCGTATGACCGGACGGTTCTCGCCCGAGTCTGCTCACCAAGTGTGGAACCTTGTTGTGTTTTTGTCCGCAGTATGAAACCACCGACAAACATCTCTCCCCGGACGGCCAGTATGTTCCCAGAATCCTTTTTGTCGGTAAGACTTTGTCACACCGATGACTTAACGTCTTCATTCGGCGGAAGATGTGCCGGCTTTGCATCCGCTCAGGCGGCCATATTTTCCAAATGGTCGCGAGCCACTCGGCGCCTCGCGCGGATGACAACTTGGGAACCAATTTTGTGGGTCAAATCCGGTTGACGACATTGCTGGCAAATGGAGCGAGGCAATCGTGCAGTTGTGGAAAAAAAAAAAAAAAAAAAAAAAAAAAAAAAATCCCGAGTGCCCCAAAAATGAGCACTGAGTTAAAAAGGCGGAGCAACATCGGATTGGCTCTGAAACGCAGACTTCGTTAGTCACGCTAACGTCACAACGGATCGATAACACTTGCGCTCTCTCTCTCTCTCTCTCTCTCTCTCTCTCTCTCTCTCTCTCAGACCCCTCGATGACCGTGAGGGCCGATGTCACCGGTCGCTATGCCAACCGCATGTATGCCTACGAACCCAATGACGTCAAACTACGTGAGTGAGATGAAACTCTGCGCCTCCGCTGTCCACTCGACCCGAGGAGCCTTGCGCCTAACGCTCTCTCGCTCTCTCCGTCGATTGACTTTTAGTGAAAAACAACATGAAGAAGGCCAAGAAACTCCTCAAGTCTGAGCTTTGAGACGCAGCTGTCGCTTCAGCCGACGAGTGGAAACAAGTCGTTCTGCTCACGTCTTCGCTCCGAAGCTCTCCTTGCTTCCGCCCGCTTATCCACGTTGCCTTTGCAAATAAATTGGAAAACGCTGACGATTGGAGTGTTGATGTTCTGTTTTGGTTGCGCCGAACCGCAGCGCCTCGGCCAGCTCTCGTAAATGCTTTGCCGGTTCGCGACATCGAGTTCTGAACCCAAATTGCTCGGAGACGCGGAGCCTACGTACGGCTTGATTGCGGTGACGGCAAAGTTCAGTATAAGACACGCAAACCGAGTCCCCTGAAAGAGACATTTGGGTGACTGCGGTGATGGGACGAAACACACACACACACACACGCACACACACACACACACACACACACACACACACACACACACACACACACACAGACATTGAAGTGGCAAAGCCCAAAGGGAGGAAGGGGCGGTCCAGAGCGCAGCCGGCGTCCGTATCACAGGAAGGCGCTGGGGTTGGCTCGGGGGTCCTTCTGGTTCCTGAAGCGGTACGTGAGCCACACGCCCACAATCTGACAGCACCACACGGAACGTTACCGGGCAGCGTCATCATTCGAGCGTTACGTGCTCGCAAACGTGTTCTTTGTCATTCCAGTGGAACCTCGAAGGGGGTGGGGGGGTCGCCTCCACGGGCCGCTTGACGGATTGCCCGGACGGCAAGCCGCCACGTCAGTCGTAGGAGGCGTCCGTGGGCCAAATTCTTTGCAATACAAGCGATGAGGCTTGACGCGGTCGGGATTTCGGAGCCAATCGCTATCTACCACGGTCGTCATCGTCTACCCGCCAAACTTCGGGGTTCCACTGGAGCGTCGTGACGACAGGCGGCTTTGACGGGCTTCATCCCTGTCGCTGCGCCACGTCGGTGGAGGCTCACCTCGGTCAAACTGAAAAAGAGGCCGGTCCCTCCTACGAGACGCAGGACTTCATCCGCGTGTGCCTGGATCTTATCGGCGCACGGCAAACAGGAGCGCTTGGGGAAACAGGCCTGCGGCAAAACACAGGAACAGGCACTCACAACGCTGACGGAGAGCCAAATTAATCACACACACACACATAAAGAAAACTAAAAAAGAAAAACAAGTTGTGTTTGATCTGCTGCAACATTTGAGGAGCAAGGAACCAAACGTACGGCATGACAGGTGGCGTTGAGGTCGACGTGACGGAAGCCGCAGCAGTTGAGGCTCTTTTCCACGTCCCTCTGGGCGCCGTGGGAGTTGTTCCAGCCCACCTCCAGCAGATGATCCTGAGGAAAGCACATCGGCCGTGGTTTCGCCCTCATGATCGCTGAAGTGGGATAGCCCCACCCAAAACCAAAGTCGCCGTTGAGCGACCGCGTCGCGCTCGCGCCTGCGGCTAACGCCGTTTG